TAGACCCTTCTCACCATATAGGGTGTGTGGATCCTCCTTCTCTCCATAATGCTGTCTTTGGATACCAGGCTGCTCATCTTATTATATTTGCCTGGTGTTCCCTGGCGGACTCCCACCCAAGTCCTCACCAGGGCTGGCCCTGCTTAGCATCCAAGATAATATAGGGTGTGTGGATCCTCCTTCTCTCCATAATGCTGTCTTTGGATACCAGGCTGCCCATCTTATTATATTTGCCTGGTGTTCCTTGGTGGACTCCCACCCAAGTCCTCACCAGGCCTGACCCTGCTTAGCATCCAAGATAATATAGGATGTATAGATCCTTCTCACCATATAGGGTGTGTGGATCCTCCTTCTCTCCATAATGCTGTCTTTGGATACCAGGCTGCTCATCTTATTATATTTGCCTGGTGTTCCCTGGCGGACTCCCACCCAAGTCCTCACCAGGGCTGACCCTGCTTAGCATCCAAGAGGATGTAAAATGCAACACCTTCAAGGTATTTTGAGACCCTTCTCTGTATGATGCCAGTCCTTGGATACCTGTCCGCCCATCCTCGTATGGACCTCCCAGGCCTTCCTCGGTGGCCAAGGTCAACGCTTTGGCCCTCGTCATCCAGAGGAGCGGCCTGTGGGTGTCCGAGCCCACCCCTCCGCCCTCTCCCTCGCCCACTCTCCCTCTCTCCAAGCTGGTACTCTGCCTGGATGCAGCGCCTGCTGCCTGTGATTGGACCAGAGGCTCAGGGATGCTGCAAAAAGGGAGGAGGCTGAGAGGAAGGCGAAGGAGGGGAAGAAGGAATACATACGGTGGCTGCAGCCCGGAGCCCAGAGCATCCTCTGGCAGAAGCATCGGCATTGGCATCACCAAGGCAGGGTGAGGAGCAGAAGCCGTGCTTCCTTGGCACAAGGGCAGGCAAGCGCCGTGGAGGGCACCTGGCCCAGGGCAGAGGCCAGCATGACAGGTGTGTGGGTTTGTTTTGCTTTGCATGCCGAAGGAAGCTGGGCATCTAAGGGCATACCTGCAGGCGCATGTAGAAGCGCATGCCAAGGTGTGGGTGAGGATGGAGATGATGCAAAGCTGGAGATGTGCACAGAACCGTTTTGGGGCCATTTTGCAAGACATGCCAGAAACAAGCGCTTGGCACAGATAGAAGAGATACCAGAACCAAACCCTGGGAAATAGTTAGATGGGCCTCTGTTGATAGGGCTTTGGCTGTGTCTTTCTGCATCGCAGGAGGGTGGACTGGATGGCCTTTGGGGGTTATTTCAAAGGAGATGCCAGAACCATGTCATTATTATTATTGTTGCTGTTATTATTATTATTATTATTATTATTATTATTATTATTAGTCCCAGAGAGAGATGTAAGAGATATCAGAACCAAACCCTGGGAAATAGTTAGATGGGCCTCTGTTGGGAAGGCTTTGGCTGTGTCTTCCTGCATGGCAGAAGGGTGGACTGGATGGCCTTTGGGGGTTATTTCAAAGGAGATTCTAGAACCATGTCATTATCATTATCATCATCATCATCATCATTTTTAGGCCCTGAGAGAGATGAAAGGGATACCTGAACCAAACCCTGGGAAATGGTTAGATGGGCCTCTGTCGGGAAGGCTTTGGCTGAGTCTTCCTGCATGGCTGGAGGGTGGGCTGGATGGCCTTTGGGGGTTATTTCAAAGGAGATGCCAGAACCATGTCATCATCATCATCATCATCATCATCATCATCATCATCATCATCATCATTAGTCCCTGAGAGAGATGAAAGATACCAGAACCAAACCCTTGGTTAGATGGGCCTCTGTTGGGAGGGCTTTGGCTGTGTCTTCCTGCATGGCAGGAGGATGAACTGGACGGCCTTTGGGAGTTATTTCAATGGAGATGCCAGAACCATGTCATTATTATTATTATTATTATTATTATTATTATTATTATTATTATTATTATTAGTCCCTGAGAGAGATGAAAGATACCGGAACCAAACCCTTGGTTAGATGGGCCTCTGTCGGGAGGGCTTTGGCTGTGTCTTCCTGCATCGCAGAAGGGTGGATTGGATGGCCTTTCGGTGTTATTTCAAAGGAGATGCCAGAACCATGTCGTCGTCATCATCATCATCATCATCAGTCCTTGAGATAGCTGAATGAGATATGAGGACCAAATCCCTGGGAAATGGTTAGATGGGCCTCTGTTGGGAAGGTTTTGGCTGTGTCTTCCTGCATGGCAGGAGGGTGGACTGGATGGCCTTTGGGGGTTATTTTAAAGGAGATGCCAGAACCATGTCATCATCATCATTCCCTGAGAGAGATTAAAGGGATACCAGAACCAAACCCCAGGAAATGGTTAGATGGACCTCTGTTGGGAGGGCTTTGGCTGTGTCTCCCTGCATGGCAGGAGGGTCGGCTGGATGGCCTTTGGGAGTTATTTCAAAGGAGATGCCAGAATCATGTCAGTATTATTATTATTATTATTATTATTATTATTATTATTATTCCCTGAGAGAGATGAAAGAGATACCAGAACCAAGCCCTGGGAAATGGTTAGATGGGCCTCTGTCGGAAAGGCTTTGGCTGTGTCTCCCTGCATGGCAGGAGGGTGGACTGGATGGCCTTTGGGAGTTATTTCAAAGGAGATGCCAGAATCATGTCATCATCATCATCATCATCATCATCAGTCCCTGAGACAGATTAATGAGATATCAGAACCAAATCCCTGGGAAATGGTTAGATGGGCCTCTGTTGGGAAGGCTTTGGCTGTGTCTTCCTACATGGTAGGAGGCTGGACTGGATGGCCTTTGCAGACTCTTCCATGATTCAATGGGGAGAAGATGGCAATGTTTACAACCGTTTCAGGGCTATTTCAAAGGAAATTGCAGAACCATGTTGTTGTTGTTGTTGTTGTTGTTGTTGTTGTTGTTGTTGTTGTTGTTAGCTCTTGGCACAAATGAAAGAAATATTAAAACCAAAACCTTGGTGAGGGTTGGATGAGCCTCTGTTGGGAGACTTTTGACTGTGTCTTCCTGAATTGGTTTGGAATGGATCACCCTTGGGTCCTCTTCTAACACTATGATTCAATGGGGAGAAGCTGGCATTGTTTGCAAACATTTCAGGACTGTTTCAAAGGGGATGCGAGAACCATGCCATTATCGTTGTTGTTGGATGGGCCTCTGTCGGGAAGGTTTTACCTGTGTCTTCCTGCATTGGTTTGGAATGCATTGCCATTGTTGTTAGTCCTTGGACAGATAAAAGAGCTAACTGAACCAAACCCTTGGCAAGGGTGGTTGGATGGGCCTCTGTCAGGAGGGCTTTGATTGTGTCTTCCTGCATTGGTTTGGAATAGATCGCCTTTAGGGTGTCTTCGAACACTATGATTCTATTGGGAGAAGCTGGCAATGCCTACAACCTTTTCAGGGTTATTTCAAAGGAGATGACAGAACCATGCCATCATTGTTGTTGTTGTTGTTGGATGGATCTCTGTCAGGAGGGCTTTGAATGTGGCAGTATCTGCAACCGTTTCAAGGATATTTCAAAGGATATTCCAGAACCATGCCATTATTATTGTTGTTGTTGTTGTTAGCCCTTGGCACAGATGGAAGAGATATCAGAACCAAAACCTTTGTGAGGGTGGGATGGGCCTCTGTTGGGAGGGCTTTGACTATGTCTTCCTGCATTGGTATGGAATTGATTGCCTTTGGGGTTCCTTTCCAACTCTAAGACTCAATGGGGAGAAGCTGGCAACACTTAGATTCATTTTGGGACCATTTTCAAAGGAACCAAAACCTTTGTGAGAGTTGGTTGGGTCTCTGTTCAGAGGGCTCTGATTGTGTCTTCCTGCATTGGTTTGGAATGGATCACCTTTGGAGTCTCTCCCAACTCTAGGATTCTATGGGGAGAAGCTGGCAACACTTAGATTCATTTTGGGACCATTTTCAAAAGAACCAAAACCTTAGTGAGGGTTGGTTGGGTCTCTGTTCAGAAGGCTCTGATTGTGTCTTCCTGCATTGATTTGGAATGGATCACCTTTGGAGTCTCTTCCAAGTCTAGGATTCTATGGGGAGAAACTGGCAACATTTGGATTCATTTTGGGACCATTTTCAAAGGAACCAAAACCTTTGTGAGAGTTGGCTGGGTCTCTGTTCAGAGGGCTCTAATTGTGTCTTCCGACATTGGTTTGGAATGGATCACCTTTGGAGTCTCTTCCAACTCTAGGATTCTATGGGGAGAAGCTGGCAATGTTCAGAGTCATTTTGGGAGATGGAGATGCCAGAACTAACCCCTTTGGCAAGAGCTGGATGGCCATCTGTCAGGAGTGCTTTGATTGTGTGTCCCTCCAGAGTAGGAGGTTTTGAATGGATGGCCTTTGGGGGTCTCTTCCAACTAGGGTTGTCATGGCAAAAGAGACGCCAGAAGCAAAACCTTAGCAAAGGGTTGGATGGACATCTTTCGGGAGGGCTTTGATGGTGTGTTCCTGCATGGCAAGAGGTTGGACTGGATGGCCCTTGGGGGCCTCTTCCAACTCTGTGAGCTTATGATTCGAAGGGTGAAAACCTATGCCAGAACCAAACTCTTGGCAAGGGAGGAAAAGATGTCTGCCTTTCTATCCTTGATTAGAATGTGTTTTCAAGTCAGCTTCCAATGACTCCCTGTCTTTCTGATGGTTTCCTTTGGCAAGCGATATATTTAGGAGGTGTTTTTGCCAGTTCCTTCGTCTGAAATAGAGCTGGCAGCACATTGAATTCCTCAGCGGCCCTTCTGGGCTTGGAGAGGGGTCTTCTTTTTGGACTAGCCCATGCCTAGCAGATGCAACAATGCAACTAATACCCTGTTCTGCATGTAAATAAGTGACCTTTTCCATCCTTTCTCCCCCAGATGACAACTTGTCCGGCGTCAGCGGGATGGAGGTGGACGACCGCATCTCCTACCTGGAGCAGCGCCTGCAGCTGCAAGAGGATGAGATCCAGGTCTTGAAGGCCGCCTTGGCCGACGTCCTCCGTCGCCTCAGCACCTGCGAGGAGAACGGGCTCAGCTTGCAAAAGAAGGGACCCAACAAAGGTACCCGGATTTGAGGATGTTTTAAGGGTGCCAAGTATAGTACAAAGTCGGTAGCTTTCATAAGTCCCATCTCCAAGCGAGAGACCATTTCCATCGACTCATAGAGTTGGAAGAGACCCACAAAGGCCATCTAGTCCACCTCCTTTCTGCAAGGCAGGAGGCATTGAAATGGCAGGGAGAAGGTTTGAGGAAAAGAGACAAAAGAGAGTTCCTGAGGTCTGTAAAAGCATGGTTTATTCTCGGTTGGTGGAAGATAAAAGGAAGAGGGGCCGACCAAGGGCAAGATGGATGGATGGCATCCTTGAAGTGACTGGACTGACCTTGAAGGAGCTGGGGGTGGTGACGGCCGACAGGGAGCTCTGGCGTGGGCTGGTCCATGAGGTCACGAAGAGTCGGAGACGACTGAACGAATGAACAACAAAATTCTTGGTTGGCGCAACCGGATATGGACCCTGCCGGTACTCCAGGAAACAGGGTGCTGAACAAAAGAATAGCCTTGGTTTATATACCCTTTAAAATAATATGCATGTATCATACAAGCATCACAATGGGTGTTACAAAAATCCACTTTTACATTGACTTCAATAGCATATTTTAACTTCAACACCTTCAATCTCCCATTAAGCACCTTTATCTAAAGAGCAGCTCATTGGTGGACCATAGTGCCAGAGTGTCTGCTAGGCTACTGATAGCAAGAGCTTCCATCCATCTTGAGATAAGTCCTTTCCTGAAGAAGCCTCTTGATAGCCAGGCTCATTAATCTTACGATAAGCCCTGCTTGGTACCAAATGGAAGAGTCTCCTGATATTTGCCAGATACATTTCTTTCCTAAAGACTCCATCGGACTCTAAGGCATTCTATATTACATTCAAATTGCAAAGGACCCCAAAGGCCATCCAGTCCAACCCCTTTCTGCCAAGCAGGAAGACACCATTAAAGCCTCCCCAGCAGATGGCCATCTAGCCTCTGCTTCCAAACCTCCAGAGAAGGAGACTCCATCAGACATTATTCTATATTCGATCAAAGTTGAAAAGGACCTTCAAAAGGCATGTAGTCCAATCCCTTTCGGCCAGGCAATAAGACATAATCAAAGCCTTCCCAGCAGATGGCCATGCAGCCTCTACTTCCAAACCTCCAAAGAAGGAGACTTATATTGCATTCAAGTTGGAAAGGACCTCCAAAGGCCATCTAGTCAACCCCTTTCTGCCAGGCCAGAAGGCACCATCAAATAATAATAATAATAATAATAATAATAATAATAATGATAATAATAATAATAATAACAACAACAACTGTGTGACTGTTGTGGTGCTGGCTTGGGCTTTTAAATGGACATAACGATAGTGATAATATTTATTATGATTTATTTATTTACGACATTTATATACTACCTTTCTCAGCCCAGAGGCGACTCAGAGTGGTTCACAATTGGCAACAATTTGATGCCACAACAATAATAACAATTAAAACAATCATAAAATATTATATTATTATATTTATTATATTTATTATTATTATTATTATTATTATTATTATTTATTGTTATCATTGTAAAAATAGGTGGATAAATTCTCTGGTGAGATATAAAGGCTGAAGCAGTTCTCCACCAGCATTAAAACTTAACATTTTGAGCATGCATATCTTTTACTCTCAAATTTGTCATTCTCTTTCCCTTCTCCAAAATCCAAAACCAGGGATGTTCAGGCCTATGTCTTCCTTGGATTGAAATGTAGTGAAGTTCTACCCAGTTTGTAGATTATTTTTTATTACGTGCAACAAAATTTTGAAACAGTCTTCCAGGGCAGTCCCAGGTCAGGTTCGTAAAAGTAGTCTAGCCACGTATTATCAGTGGTTGGATTACTATAGCTGCATGACTTGTTGTTGTTGTTGTTGTTGTTGTTGTTATTATTATTATTATTATTATTATTTCTCTTGCAGTTTACCAGCTCCTGAGAGGCCTGCCATCCCGACCAAGCCTGAGCAATGGGATCATCCCACAAAGGAGGGGCTATTCAACATCTCCATCCTCTCCCAAGAGAGAATTGCTATCTGGAAAAAGGTGACGTGTGTTTTCGCAAAAAGTAACTTCCCCAAGGGCTTTTCCGCACTACGTCGTTATAGCGCAACGATTGCATTTTAAACTCCCACAACTGCACTTTATGGAACCCTGGGACTTGTGGTTTGGGGGAACTCTAATGCCTCCCCAAACTACACATCCCAGGACTCCAGAGCTGGTTAAACTGGGATCGTAGCGCTTGCTTTGTGTGGTTCGAATGGGCCCTGGATATCACCCACTTTCCTTGCGTATGTTTTATGAAAACACCATCAGAATTGCCATTTAATTTGACTTGATGATTGACAGGTCAGCAGAAAGCAGTTCATTTGGCTGCTGCAGTTGAAGGATGCACAATGGGTCAAATCATGGGGAAAAGCTGAGATAGTGTGACTCACTCCAAGTCTGACCAGTGGGTTTTCTTGGCTGAGGAGGGATCAGAGTCATAGCTCAATGCTGTCTCTCCAAAAAAATAATAATTATAGAATCGCCCACTAACAAGATTTGGGTTGCTATGAGGTTTTGGAGCTGGGTGGCCATGTTTCAGCAGCATTCTTTCCTGACATTTCACCTGCATCTTTGGCTAATGGCATCTTCAGAGGTTCTGTTAGAAGTGAAGCAATTGGGGTGTATATATAATTATATGTAGATGTGTGTGCATGTATATGTATATGTATGTATATATATATATGTATATCTCTCTGTGTGTAGATATGTGTGTATGTATACATGTGTATGTGTGTGTGTGTGTGTGTATATATATATATAGAGAGAGAGAGATAGATAGATAGATAGATAGATACACACACACATACATATAACAATGTCCAGGGTGGGAAAAAGAAACCTTTGTCTGTTTCAAGCAAGTGTGAATATTGCAATTAGCAAGCTTGATTAGTATTGAGTAGCGATGAAGCTGCAAAGTCAATCAATGAGGGTATCTGCATAGGGGTAGCAAGTGGAGTGTGTGTGTGTATGTGTGTGGTATACATATATATATATATATATATATCTGGAATAATGTCCAGGGTGGGATTAAAAACCCTTGCCTATCTGTCTAAAGCAAGTTTGAATATTGCAATTAGCAAGCTTGAATAGCATTGAGTAGCCATGAAGCTGCAAAGTCAATCAGCGAGGGTATCTGCATAGGGGTAGCAAGCGGTGTGTGTATATATCTGCAATAATGTTCAGGGTGGGATTAAAAACCCTTGCCTACTGTCTAAAGCAAGTGTGAATGTTGCAATTAGCAAGCTTGAATAGCATTGAGTAGCCACGAAGCTGCAAAGTCAATCAATGAAGTTATCTGCATAAGGGTAGCAAGTGGGGTATGTCTGCGTGCGTGTGTATGGAATAATGTCCAGGATGGGAGAAAAAACCCTTGCCTGTCTGTCTAAAGCAAGTGTGAATGTTGCAATTAGCAAACTTGAATAGCATTAAGTAGCCACGAAGCTGCAAAGTCAATCAGTGAGGGTATCTGCATAGGGGTAGCAAGTGGTGTGTGTGTGAATATATATATATATATATATATATATATATATATATATATACACACACACACACACACACACACACACATATTTATTCCACATACATATATATTTATTCCATATATATATATATATATATATATATTCCATATGTGTGTGTGGAATAATGTCCAACGTGGGAGAAAAAACCCTTGCCTGTCTGTCTAAAGCAAGTGTGAATGTTGCAATTAGCAAACTTGAATAGCATTGAGTAGCCACGAAGCTGCAAAGTCAATCAGTGAGGGTATCTGCATAGGGGTAGCAAGTGGTGTGTGTGTGTATGTATGTATGTGTGTGTGGAATATATATATATATATATATATATATATATATATATACACACACACACACACACACACACACACACACACACACATCTTATTCCACATACATGGTGTTCTTTATTTACTATCTTTATTCTGGTGTTTTTTTTAATACTGGGAATCATGAAATTGAACAAATTAGTGTCACTAGTATTTAAAAACACCAGAATCAAGACAGTGTAATAAAGAACACTATTGAGAGACAGGGTGCAGGTGAAACGTCATGAGAGAATGCTGCCGGAACATGGCCATACACCTCAAAAAACTCAGAGTAACTGAGTTATTCTGGCCATGAAAGCCTTTGACAACACAATAGCAATATCTGTTCAAAGAGGGTTCTGTGGGTTGCTGTGAGTTTTCCGGGCTGTTCAAGATCTGTTCCAAGAGGGATCTGTTTGCCAGAGGGCAGCAGCAACAGGCAAGGAAACGTATATATGCCTTGGTGTATAATAGGCATCTAAGTATATACAATGGGAATGTAAATATATAAGCAGTTTCCGGCTTACATACAATTCCTAGTTAAGACAACAGGAAGTAAACTCCTGGAAGAGTTTATATAGCATTTAATAGGGGCTGCGGTGGCGCAGCAGGTTAAACCGCTAAGCTGCAGAACTTGCTGATTGGAAGGTCAGCGGTTTGAATCCGCCGACGGGGTGAGCTCCCACTGTTAGGCCCAGCTTCTACCAACCTAGCAGTTTGAAAACATGCAAATGTGAGTAGATCAATAGGTACCGCTTTGGCAGGAAGGTAAGGGCGCTCCATGCAGACATGCTGTCCACATGACCTTGGAGGTGTCTATGGACAAAACCGGTTCTTCAACTACCTATACCTAAAGGGATATATATATATATATATATATATATATATATATATATAGTTTTAAGACTGGGTTGGGAAGCTCATTCTTTCATGGGATGGACACTATCCTGCGTGGTTCACTCTGCTCTAAAGTCTTAGCATGACATCTTTTGACCAACAAGCACTTTCTCCCCCACTTCCCCACTTTCCATGCTGAGCTCTCTCTTGCTTCTTGTCTGCTATGCAAGTCTTGCTTGGGTTGGAGACCAAAGGTGCCACGAATGAAAAGGTGAAAGGGGGAGCTGGGCGAAAGAGGAAGCAGAAATGAATTCTCAAAGACAAGGGAGACCCAAAAAGCTCTCCAATGCATCTTGGAATTACGTACAGTTATATGTTGCCATCTCCTCCTGCCACGTAATAACAATAACAATAGCCACAGCCACAGCCTTAACAATAACAATAGCCACAGCCACAGCCATAGCCTTAACAATAACAATAACAACAACCATAGCCATAGCCTTAACAATAACAATAGCCATAGCCACAGCCACAGCCTTAACAATAACAATAACAATAACAACAACCATAGCCATAGCCTTAACAATAACAATAGCCATAGCCACAGCCACAGCCTTAACAATAACAATAACAATAACAACAACCATAGCCATAGCCTTAACAATAACAATAGCCATAGCCACAGCCACAGCCTTAACAATAACAATAACAATAACAACAACCATAGCCATAGCCTTAACAATAACAATAGCCATAGCCACAGCCACAGCCTTAACAATAACAATAACAATAACAACAACCATAGCCATAGCCTTAACAATAACAATAGCCATAGCCACAGCCACAGCCATAGCCTTAACAGTAACAATAACAATAACAACAACCATAGCCATAGCCTTAACAATAACAATAGCCATAGCCACAGCCACAGCCATAGCCTTAACAGTAACAATAACAATAACAACAACCATAGCCATAGCCTTAACAATAACAATAGCCATAGCCACAGCCACAGCCATAGCCTTAACAGTAACAATAACAATAACAACAACCATAGCCATAGCCTTAACAATAACAATAGCCATAGCCACAGCCACAGCCATAGCCTTAACAGTAACAATAACAATAACAACAACCATAGCCATAGCCTTAACAATAACAATAGCCATAGCCACAGCCACAGCCACAGCCATAGCCTTAACAATAACAATAGCCATAACCATAGCCTTAACAATAACAATAACCATAGCCATAGCCTTAACAATAACAATAACAATAGCTATAGCTACAGCCATAACCTTAACAATAACCATAACCATATCCATAGCCATAGTCTTAACAATAACAATAACAATAGCCATAGCCACAGCCTTAGCAATAACAATAGTCATAACCTTAACAATAACAATAACCACAGCCACAGCCATAGCCTTAACAATAACAATAGCCACAGCCATAGTCTTAACAATAACAATAGCCATAGCCACAGCCTTAATAACAATAGCCATAACCACAGCCACAGCCTTAATAATAACAATAGCAATAGCCATTGCCACATCCGTAGCCTCAACAATAACAATAACAAGCCATTTCCACATCCATAGCCTTAACAATAACAATAACCATAGCCATAACAATAACAATAGCCATAGCCACAGACACAGACACAGCCTTAACAATAACAATAGCCATAGCCACAGCCATAGCCTTAACAATAACAACAACTAGATGGCCCTTGGGGACCTCTTCCAAGTCTATGAGCCTATATTCTAGGGGTGAAAAAGGATGCCAGAACCAAAACCTTGGCAAGGGTTGGATGGCCACCTGTCGGGAGTGCTTTAATTGTGAGGTTTGGAATTGATCGCCCTTTGGGGTCTCTCCCAACTCTAGGATTCCACGGGGAGAAGCTTTGAAGGCGTTTTCTGGACTGGAGCACCTCAGGTCTTGCAAAGCTCTTCCCCCTTTGAAACCAATGCTTTGCTTTCCATCCGACAACCTCATTCCTGGCTTGCGCACCCGGTTGGTTGCTTCTCCCGGCACATGCTTGCTGACCCATCTCCACTTCTTTTCCCGGCTGGATCCACTTCTTCTTCCTTCCTCCTTCCTTCCTTCCTTTCCTGGCTTGTTTCCACAGCAACCCAAATTTTCTGGTTCCACATCTTTGCCTTCTTCTCCCCCCTTCTGCCCCTTCTTGGCCCCTTCTTGGCTCCCTTGCTGAGGCTCTCTCCTCCACAGCGGGCGAAGTAGCTGCCCCTCGCCGGAAGGGCCCCCAGCCCCGATCCAACGCCCCTCCTGCAAGGACCAGAGGAGCCGCACCACGTCCTCCAGCAGCTCCTGCAGCATCAAGCGCGAAGGGTACGTGCCCCAGCCGGATTCGAAGCCGGGTCTCTCTCTCTCAGGCCTACCTTCATCCCTCAGCACCACCCTGACACTATTAGGACACTTCCTCCGAGGCTGAGAGTATGTGACTTGCCCACGGCCTCCGAACTGGTTTCCACGGTTGAGCAGAACTCGAACTCTGGCTTCTCCAAGGCTTAGTGTAGCACTCCAAACCCATCCATGGCTCTTTAACAAACTGATCTGTGTCGCCTATTAATAGAATAACTTTTGTTGTCATTGTGCATCGCACATCGAAACTAAATGCCATCCCCAATCGCATTATATGATATGTGGAATTACAAAAACAAAACACACATCCTTCCACATTCTCATCACTATTGCACAGCCCCTTGTGCCAATGTATTGGTGAAAGGATGGATAAAGGATCAGATAAAGGGGTTGGTGGATCAATAGATAGATGGTAGAGAAAGAGATGAGTGAATAGATAAAGAGAGAAACGTATTAGTGAATGAATGGATAGAGAGCGACAGGGGAAGAGCTCCTCGAGCCAATGCATTGGTAAATGGATGGATAAAGGATCAGATAGATGGGTTGGTGGATCAATAGATAGATGGTAGAGAAAGAGACAGGTGAATAGTTAAAGAAAGAGAGAAACGTATTGGTGAATGAAAGGATAGAGAGAGAGGTGAAGGGATAGAGAGAGAAATGTATTGGTGAATAGATAGATAGATGATAGATAGATAGATAGATAGATAGATAGATAGATAGATAGAGACACAGGTGAAGAGATAGAGAAGAGAGATGGATGATGTATGGGTTGGTGGATCAATAGATAGATGGTAGAGAAAGAGACAAGTGAATAGGTAGAGAAAGGGAAACATTGGTGAATGAATGGATAGAGAGAGAGAGGTGAAGGGATAGAGAGAGAAACGTATTGGTGAATAGGTAGATGGATGGATGAATGGATAGATAGATAGATTGATTGATAGATTGATAGAGACACAGGTGAAGAGATAGAAAAGAGAGATGGATGAATGAACTGGTAGTTAGGTAGGTAGATGATAGATAGATAGATAGATAGATAGATAGATAGATAGATAGACAGATAGAGACACAGGTGAAGGGATAGAAAAGAGAGGTAGATGAATGAATAGATAGATAGATAGATAGATAGATAGATAGATAGATAGATAGATAAACAGATAAAGAGAGAAACATTGGTGAATGAATAGATAGATAGATAGATAGATAGATAGATAGATAGATAGATGAAGAGATAGAGTGAGAAACGTATTGGTGAATAGATAGATAGAGACAGGTGAAGAGATAGAAAAGAGAGATGGATGAATGAAATGGTAGATAGATAGATAGATAGATAGATAGATAGATAGATAGATAGATAGATAGATAGATAGATAGAGAAACATTGGTGAATGAATGGATAGATAGAGAGACAGGTGAAGGGATAAAGAGAGAACRGTATTGGTGAATAGATAGATATAGATAGATAGATAGATAGATAGATAGATAGATAGATAGATAGATAGATAGAGACACAGGTGAAGAGATAGAAAAGAGAGATGGATGAATGAAATGGTAGATCGATAGATAGACTGGTAGATCGATAGATAGATAGATAGATAGATAGATAGATAGATAGATAGATAGATAGATAGATAGATGAATAGATAGAGAAACATTGGTGAATGAGTGGATAGATAGAGAGACAGGTGAAGAGATAGAGAGAGAAATGTATTGGTAGATAGATAGATAGATAGATAGATAGATAGATAGATAGATAGATAGGGACACAAGTGAAGAGATAGAAAAGAGAGATGGATGAATGAAATGGTAGATAAATAGATAGATAGATAGATAGATAGATAGATAGATAGATAGATAGATAGATAGATAGATAGATAGATAGATAGATAGATAGAAACATTGATGAATGAATGGATAGATAGAGAGAGAGACAGGTGAAGAGATAGAGAGAGAAATGTATTGGTGAATAGATAGATAGATAGATAGATAGATAGATAGATAGATAGATAGATAGATATAGATAGATAGATAGATAGATAGATAGAGACACAAGTGAAGAGATAGAAAAGAGAGGTGGATGAATGAACTAGTAGATAGAGAGAGAGAGAGAGGTGAATAGATAAAGAGAGGAACGTATTGGTGAATGAATGGATAGATAAGAGACAGGTGAAGAGATAGAAAGATAGAGAAATGTATTGGTGGATGGATGGGTGGATCAATACATAGATGACAGAGGCAGACACAGGTGAATAGATAGATTGAGAAAAGAACTGTATTGGTGAATGGATGGATGGAGAAGTGGATCAATAAACAGATGATAGAGAAAGACAGGTAAATGGATTGAGAGATAGAGACAGAGAGAAATGTTTTGGTGAATGGATGGATGGAGAGGTAGATCAATAACTAGGCGATAGAGAAAGACACAGGTGAATAGATGGAGAGATAGAGAAGAGAAATATATTGCTGATCGAAAGATGCATCAATAAGTAGATGAATGGTGAATGGATGAATGAAAAGGTGGATCAATACATAGATGATAAAAGCAGACACAGGTGAATAGTGAGATAGAAAAATGTATTGGTGAATGGAGGCATTTATCACAAAATTCCCACGATATGACACCTCTATGATGGTTTTCCCTTGGCCGAGTGCCTTGTATCTGGCTTCCTCTGAGGCTGAGAGAGCGTGACTTTGCCCAAGGTCTCGTAGTCGGTTTCCACTGTCAAGGTGGAATTTAAATCCATGTTGCAGAATGCATCTGCACTGCAGAATGAATGCAGTTTGCTACCACTTTGACGGCCATGACTCAGTGCTATTGAATCCTGGGAGTTGTAGTTCTACAAGGTCTTTAGCCTTCTTTGGGGTGCATCTACACTGCAGAATGAATGCAGTTTGCTACTACTTTGACCTGCCATGGCTCAGTGCTATTGAATCCTGGGAGTTGTAGTTCTACAAGGTCTTTAGCCTTCTTTTGGGTACATCTACACTGCAGAATGAATGCAGTTTGCTACCACTTTGACCTGCCATGGCTCAGTGCTACTGAACTACTAGGAGTTGTAGTTCTACAAGGTCTTTAGCCTTCTTTTGGGTGCATCTACGTTGCAAAATTAATGCAATTTGCTACCACTTTGAACTGCCATGGCTCAGTGCTATTGGATCCTGGGAGTTGTAATTTTACAAGGTCTTTAGCCTTCTTTGGGTGCATCTACACTGCAAAATGAATGCAGTTTGCTACCGCTTTGATGGCCATGGCTCAGTGCTATTGAATCCTGGGAGTTGTAGTTTTACAAGGTCTTTAGCCTTCAGTGCTACAGAACTTCTAGGAGTTGTAGTTTTACAAGGTCTTAAGCCTTTGTGGTGCATCTACACTACAGAATGAATGCAGTTTGCTACTACTTTGGTTCAGTGCTATTGAGTCTTGGGAGTTGTAGTTCTACAAAGTCTTTAGCCTTCTTTTGGGTGCATCTACACTGCAAAATGAAGAGTTTGCTACCACTTTGACCTGGCTCAGTGCTATATAATCCCGGGAGTTGCAGTTTTAAAAGGTCTTTAGCCTTCTAAATGAATGCAGCTTGCTACTACTTTGACCTGCAATGGCTCAGTGCTATTAAACCTGAGAGCTGTAGTTTTACAAGGTCTTTAGCCTTCAGTGCTACAGAACTTCTAGTTGTAGTTTTGCAAGGTCTTAACCCTTCTTTGTGGTGCATCTACACTACAGAATGAATGCAGTTTGCTACTACTTTGGCTTAGTGTTATTGAGTCTTGGGAGTTGTAGTTTTACAAGGTCTTTAGCCTTCTCTGGGGTGCATCTACACTGCAGAATGAATGCAGTTTAAAACCACTTGAACTGTTGTGAAAGATTGGGAGTTGGCACTCTTTTGGGCAGAGAAAGCTAAAGAAAACGTCAAACTACAACTCCTGGAGCGATGGCAGTGTCCCTCAATTCTCCAGGATGGACGTTGCGCCTTTGGAGAGATCAAGTTTCAAAGCAGAACTTTCTTTGTCGCAACCGGATATTCTCTACTTTCTTCTTCCCTCCTCCCAAGGGAAACCTCCCCTCGCTCCCTCCCTCCTTCCTCGCAGCTCTTAAAGGCACAGGGACCATTTCCCGACCACCCCCCAGGACGGGTTCCCCCTTTCGCATTCCGTGGGAAAATTAGCCCGTTTTTTCCCACGCTCGGCATTCCCCGCCTAAACTTTCCAAAAGTTGGGAAACTTTCCTTCCAGTCCCAGTTTGGCGCCGGAAGGGTTAAAGGGGAGGGCAGGAAGGATTGGGGAAGTCCCCACCCCGTTACCGGAGCAGGAGGAGGGCCCACGCCCCCCCCCGCCCCACGCCCCACTCCCGCCTCCCGCCCCCCACTTGCCTTCCCTGCGCCTCTTTCGGATCAATAGACCCATTCACACGCCCTGAACCATCATCCGCAGCCATGAAGAAGGCGTTGGGGACCACTAGCCCCAGGTAAGGAGGAAAAGTTCCCTTTTCCTGCCCTATTACTTCCCCCTTCTCTCCCTTTCTCAATGCTTGCTGGCTAAGAGTGCCTCTGAGCATACACAGAGTGCCTCTCAGCCTAAGACGCACCCTTTCCTGACTATTCAAGCTTCTGGTTAAAGTGGGAAGCTGGGTCTCTTCTTGCCTCCCCTCCATCTTACTTCTACCCATCTTGATGGGAAAGAGTGCCTCTGAGCATAAACAAAGTGCTTCTCAGCCTAAGAGGTACCCTTTCCTGACCATTAAAGACTAGTATCTTCTGGTTAAGATGGGAAGCTGGGTTCACTCTTGCCTCCCCTCCATCTCACTTCTTCTTGATGGGAAAGAGTGCCTCTGAGCATACACAGAGTGCCTCTCAGCCTAAGACGCACCCTTTCCTGGCCATTAAAGACTAGTAGCTTCTGGTTAAGATCGGAAGCTGGGTTTATTCTTGCCTCACCTCATCTCACTTCTTCTTGATGGGAAAGAGTACCTCTGAGCA